TGCTGCGGAGTTTACTGGCTGTAGAAAAAAAATGCCAAAAACAGCAGCTGTAAAATCGGCCAGGGTGCATGGGGACTTATTGTTGTCTATTTATTATAGGTTCAGAGTAGGGTTAGGGAGTTAAGGATTTACATTTAGTTGTGTATTAGGATTACAGGCTCCATATTATTATTATTATTATTATACAGGATTTGTAGATGGGGTAAGGATAGGGGTAGCCTTTTCAGGTTAAAAAAATTTGGGGGGTTAATAAACATTGGGATGTGCTAAAAACATAAAAAAAAAAACTTTTTTTTTTTTTTATTTCACCAAAAGGAGTGTACTGCTCTAGGTAATGTATATTGTATAGGACATATTAAAGTTATCACTAGATGCAAATCAAAATGCATCTTTCCTTCCCTCCTCTATATGCCTTTTCTTTACTTTTTTTATTCATTCCTCCTTCTCAGCTCCCTTCCTACATTCTTTCCCTTGTACATTCCTTCCTTCTTGCCTTACTTCCCTCCTTCCTTCTTTTCATTCTTCTTGCCTTCCTTCTTCACTCACTCCCTTTCTACCTCCCTTCCTTCCTCCTCACCTTCCTTCCTTCCCCCACCTCTATTTTCCCTTTTACATTCTTATTTTCCTTTCCTTCCTCCATTTGTCTCTTCTTTTCCTTTTTCTGCCACCTTCCCTCCTGGCCTCATACTCCAAGGAGGTAGCTGGATTTCAGCGCTCTTACTATAACCAGAGTGATAGGAGTTCTGCCCCCCCCCCCCCCCCCCCACACATATTACAGATCAGGTGAATTGTGCTGTGTGTAGGTATGATGCAATAATCACTGTGAGAGAGCTGACCTCACCAACCACCTGCTGCAATGTTCAGTATGAAGCCTGCAGGATGGAATTTCTTCCTATCTTGGTTACATGACTTTCCAAAAAGCGTTTTAGGATCAGAGCCTAATTTTAATTTTAGGCTGCATTGTATGCCATTACATAGCTGAGACCTCTGCTTTTATTTTGTCTTTAGAAGCAAATATGAAATTAGATACTTTTTATAACTAGCTAAACCAACTGCTGAAGAATTTAATTTTGGCAACTATGATCCTTAAACCAGTATTAAACCCCAAAACAAACATTCATTATATTGCAGCTTACCAATTCTTAGATCTGAAGGCTGTATTAGTTTTCTTTGTTAGGCTTTCTTCTAATTTCATCTATTTTCATCCAGCCAGCAAGTTAGTTGTTTTTTTTAAAGCTCATGCTTCCAGCAGTTTGTTGCAATTTACATGGATGAGACAAACCACTTAACACTGGCAGGGGTAATTAAAATGATCAACTTTTATTTATATGTGTAAAGCCTTTACCCCAAAAGGAAAAAAATGCTGATTGTAAAGTGTGAGCTGGAGTTTGGCTTCAATTTGTTTAGTGTATTTAAATCATCTAATACATTTAACACTCCAACCCCCCCCCCCCCCCCACCAGACTAACAATGATGCTGTGTGCTGTGCCTCCCGTGCTCATTCATCCAGAGTTGTGTCTCACTAATACCATAGGTGTGTTACTGGCCAGAAAACCGAGGGGAAAAGCTTAGCTAAGAAAACTGATGCAGCCACCACATTTAACATAACAACATAACGCATTTTTGGTTTTGGGTTTAGTACTGCATTAAGTCATCCTAAATGCAACAATGTTCATTCATTCAGGTTCTAAATCAGAGCTCTCCCAAACGTTCTAAAGAAAGGGCCAGTTTACTGTTTTTCAGATTTTAGGGGGGCTGAACTGTGCCCAGTGGGAGGTAACCGTGCCCTATCCTTGGTATTAGGGGGAGAAATAGCTGGTGTCAATGGGAGGAATTACACCCCATTCATTGGTGTCAGTGGGAGAAATTACACCCAATTTGTTGGCGTCAGTGGAAGGAATAGTGCCCCATTGTTGTCAGTGGCAGGAATAATGTCTCACGGGCTGGATGAAGGCAAGCAAAGAGCTGGGCAGCACTTTGCTTGCCACCTGCCTGGAGTTTGCATGTTCTCCCTGTGCCTGCGTGGGTTTCCTCTGGGTACTCCGGTTTCCTCCCACACTCCAAAGACATGCTGGTAGGTTAACTGGATCCTGTCTAAATTGGCCCTAGTATGTGTATGTATGAATGTAAGTTAGGGACTTTAGATTGTACACCCCTTGAGGGTTAGGGACTGATCTGAATGTACTATATGTAAAAAGTTGCGTAAATTTATGGCGCAATATACAGTCATGTCTTTTAAATATTGGGACATCAACACAATTCTAACATTTTTGGCTCTATACACCACCACAATGGATTTTAAATGAAATGAACAAGATGTGCTTTAACTGCAGACTGTCAGCTTTAATTTGAGGGTATTTACATCCAAATCATGTGAACGGTGTAGGAATTACAACAGTTTGCATATGTGCCTCCCACTTGTTAAGGGACCAAAAGTAATGGGACAGAATAATAATTATAAATCAAACTTTCACTTTTTATTACTTGGTTGCAAATCCTTTGCAGTCAATTACAGCCTGAAGTCTGGAACGCATAGACATCACCAGACGCTGGGTTTCATCCCTGGTGATGCTCTGCCAGGCCTCTACTGCAACTGTCTTCAGTTCCTACTTGTTCTTGGGGCATTTTTCCTTCAGTTTTGTCTTCAGCAAGTGAAATGCATGCTCAATCGGATTCAGGTCAGGTGATTGACTTGGCCATTGCATAACATTCCACTTCTTTCCCTTAAAAAACTCTTTGGTTGCTTTTGCAGTCTGCTTTGGGTCATTTTCCATCTGCACTGTGAAGCGGCGTCCAATGAGTTCTGAAGCATTTGGCTGAATATGAGCAGATAATATTCCCGAAACACTTCAGAATTCATCCTGCTGCTTCTGTCAGCAGTCACATCATCAATAAATACAAGAGAACCAGTTCCATTGGCAGCCATACATGCCCACGCCATGACACTACCACCACCATGCTTCACTGATGAGGTGGTATGCTTAGGATCATGAGCAGTTCCTTTCCTTCTCCATACTCTTCTCTTCCCATCACTCTGGTACAAGTTGATCTTGGTCTCATCTGTCCATAGGATGTTGTTCCAGAACTGTGAGGGCTTTTTTAGATGTCGTTAGGCAAACTCTAATCTGGCCTTCCTGTTTTTGAGGCTCTCCAATGGTTTACATCTTGTGGTGAACCCTCTGTATTCACTCTGGTGAAGTCTTCTCTTGATTGTTGACTTTGACACACATACACCTACCTCCTGGAGAGTGTTCTTGATCTGGCTAACTGTTGTGAAGAGTGTTTTCTTCACCAGGGAAAGAATTCTTCGGTCATCCACCACAGTTGTTTTCCGTGGTCTTCCGAGTCTTTTGGTGTTGCTGAGCTCACCGGTGCATTCCTTCTTTTTAAGAATGTTCCAAACAGTTGTTTTGGCCACGCCTAATGTTTTTGCTATCTCTCTGATGGGTTTGTTTTGTTTTTTTCAGCCTAATGATGGCTTCCTTCACTGACAGTGACAGTTCTTTGGATCTCCTCTTGAGAGTTGACAGCAACAGATTCCAAATGCAAATAGCACACTTGAAATGAACTCTGGACCTTTTATCTGCTCATTGTAATTGGGATAATGAGGGAATAACACACACCTGGCCATGGAACAGCTGAGAAGCCAATTGTCCCATTACTTTTGGTCCCTTAACAAGTGGGAGGCACATATGCAAACTGTTGTAATTCCTACACCGTTCACCTGATTTGGATGTAAATACCCTCAAATTAAAGCTGACAGTCTGCAGTTAACGCACATCTTGTTTGTTTCATTTCAAATCCATTGTGGTGGTGTATAGAGCCAAAAATGTTAGAATTGTGTCGATGTCCCAGTATTTATGGACCTGACTATAAGTACCTGTAATAAATAAATAAAAGCTGCATCCGGCCCCCGGGGCCGCAGTTTGGAGACCACTGTTCAGACTTCTAAATGAAGTACCGGCATAACCGAACATTTGGATTCCTGTTTGCTTTATATCTTGTCCCATTTCATTTTTCTCTTCTGTTGTGGGATGACAGATTACACGCACAGAAGACTGTACTTTGACAGCAATGACAAGCCGTTTGCTCATTGTGTAGAACATGTCTAAATATTATTCTACCAGAAAGATTTCTTCATTCCAAAAGATTAAAATCTTACACATCTGATATAATACAACAGTTTTAGGATCTGATATATTTTGTGCCGTATAAAAAAAAAAAAAAGCAAAAATAAAATATCACTGGCACTCAGTACTTTTTATAGTCAGAACCATGAAATAGAATTGGACAGGTTGCTATGGGGGAACGTTCTTTTGCCTTTTGCTCTTTGTTCATTGGAAAACAAAAAGGCACAATGTAAGTTCTAAGAATTACATACTGACCAATCAGATTCACAATGCAGGGTGCTATATTACGCAGATTACAACCAAAGCTATCATATTCACAGTCTATCCGCTCCACTGCACCCTCCTATTACCTAAATATAATCTTAGGAATTCGGGGGCAAGAATATACTGATGATAATACGTAGGCACAACAGTTCAGATTTTGGCATTTTAAGGGGAAATACCTTGAGCTATAATCTTAATCAGCAATCATCCTTCACAGAACTCTTTTTAATAAACTAAATTCTAATTGGCTGCATTTCAGATTATTATAACGCTTATTACAATACATCTAAACCTAAATCTGCACCTCAACATTTTACTGTGGCATTGTTAAACAAAATCCATATTGTACTTGTCAAATGTAAATTCCAAAAGCTTTTCCTGCCAACTTTCTATTTGAATAATTTTTTTTATTTTTAAAGGAAGTAATTCATACAATTGTTGGTGTTAAAAGTTAACTCATTGTTGCCCATCCTTAACATTTCACACCATATCCTACATATGGTTATTACTGTGCTGAAGCTAAGCTGATATCAGGATATTACATTCTCTGTGTTCAGATCTCCGGAGAACTAACAAGACCAGTTTTCAGATTTTATTACAACATACCTGTACCTTGGCACTGGCTGCTGTAAGCTTCTCCTCCTCCTGCGATGCTGAACGGGACAGGACAAAAGTGAAAGGCTGCTTCGCTTAAACTCAATTTAAATTCTCTCTTCCCCTCCCACTGACTGTGTACAGAGAGCTCAAACCCTCCTTTGCTGCAGCCATACCTAATGCATGCCTCTGGAATCTCATGTAAAGGCAGTTAACCTGTTATTTGCCTCCTATGCCATGGTGTATTATAGATACAAGTAACTGAATTGCAGTGCACACACCCCCCCCCCCCCTTCATAGAGCTTGTAAAGCAGTCTTTCCCAATGATTTTAACAATGAGAACACTTTGAAATCACTTTTATGTCTGAGGGAACCTCTGCTAATATTTATTATATGAACAACTCATGGTACATTGGTATGATGGTCAGTAGCAAGAGTGCTTTTTACATTGGTGGGCAGTGAGAAGAATTCTCCTTACATTGGTGATCAGTTGGAAGAGTGCTTTTTACATTGGTGGTCAGTGGGAAGAATGCTCCTTACATTGGTGGTCAGATTTTTCCTTATATTGGTGGTCAGTGGGAAGAATGCTCCCAACATTGGTGGTCAGTGGGAAGAATGCTCCCAACATTGGTGGTCAGTGAGATGATTTCTCCTTATATTGGCGGTCAGTGTGAAGAATGCTCCCAACATTGGCGGTCAGTGGGAAGAATGCTCCCAACATTGGCGGTCAGTGGGAAGAATGCTCCCAACATTGGCGGTCAGTGGGAAGAATGCTCCCAACATTGGCGGTCAGTGGGAAGAATGCTCCCAACATTGGCGGTCAGTGGGAAGAATGCTCCGTACATTGGTGGTCAGTGGGAAGAATGCTCCTTACATTGGTGGTCAGTGGGAAGAATGCTCCTTACATTGGTGGTCAGTGAGATGATTTCTCCTTATATTGGCGGTCAGTGGGAAGAATGGCTCCCAACATTGGTGGTCAGTGGGAAGAATGCTCCCAATATTGGTGGTCAGTGGGAAGAATGCTCCCAATATTGGTGGTCAGTGGGAAGAATGCCCCCAATATTGGTGGTCAGTGGGAAGAATGCTCCCAACATTGGTGGTCAGTGGGAAGAATGGCTCCCTACATTGGTGGTCAGTGAGATGATTTCTCCTTATATTGGTGGTCAGTGTGAAGAATGCTCCCAACATTGGCGGTCAGTGGGAAGAATGCTCCCAACATTGGCGGTCAGTGGGAAGAATGCTCCCAACATTGGCGGTCAGTGGGAAGAATGCTCCCAACATTGGCGGCCAGTGGGAAGAATGCTCCCAACATTGGCGGCCAGTGGGAAAAATGCTCCCAACATTGGCGGCCAGTGGGAAGAATGCTCCCAACATTGGCGGCCAGTGGGAAGAATGCTCCCAACATTGGCGGTCAGTGGGAAGAATGCTCCCAACATTGGCTGTCAGTGGGAAGAATGCTCCCAACATTGGCGGTCAGTGGGAAGAATGCTCCCAACATTGGCGGTCAGTGGGAAGAATGCTCCCAACATTGGCGGTCAGTGGGAAGAATGCTCCCAACATTGGCGGTCAGTGGGAAGAATGCTCCCAACATTGGCGGTCAGTGGGAAGAATGCTCCCAACATTGGCGGCCAGTGGGAAGAATGCTCCCAACATTGGCGGCCAGTGGGAAGAATGCTCCCAACATTGGCGGCCAGTGGGAAGAATGCTCCCAACATTGGCGGCCAGTGGGAAGAATGCTCCCAACATTGGCGGTCAGTGGGAAGAATGCTCTCAACATTGGTGGTCAGTGGGAAGAATGCTCCCAACATTGGCGGTCAGTGGGAAGAATGCTCCCAACATTGGCGGTCAGTGGAAAGAATGCTCCCTACATTGGCGGTCAGTGGGAAGAATGCTCCTTACATTGGCGGTCAGTGGGAAGAATGCTCCTTACATTGGCGGTCAGTGGGAAGAATGCTCCTTACATTTGGTGGTCAGTGGGAAGAATGCTCCTTACATTTGGTGGTCAGTGGGATGAATGCTCCTTATATTGATGGGTCAGTGGATAGAATGTTGTTTACATTGGTGGTCAGTGGAAAGAATGTGGTTTACATTGGTGGTCAGTGAGTAGAATACTCCTTACACTGGACGAATCCCTCTGACACAGATGGCTAAAAAGAGGCATTTATATCAGTGGTTACTTATGTGAGAGGCTGGAACAGGGGCGGACTGACAACTCATGGGGCCCCTGTGTCCTTGGCTGAACTCAAAAAAGCCTATGAAAAAGGTACCAGGGGCATCTCATGGGGCCCCCTACTGACCCTGGGCCCTCGGGCAGTGCCAGAGTTTCCAAATGGTCAGTCCACCCCTGGGCTGGAACTGCCTCAATGGAACCCTGGTTCAGAAAGGGCGCTGTAATAATAATTCAGATTCCATGTTGATCTGTTTCACTACCATGGGAGGAGAGAAAAAACAGTTGTTTTGCTTCTCTGTGCCCAAAGTATCCTGTGTCATTGTGGGTTCTCTTATGTTAACCTATGCCCTCTGTCTGATTAGCATTCTGCTTCATTCTTTAAAGACTACAACACATGAGCTCACCACTCCTGGGTCTCCAAGTTAATTGGTATTATCATAACCGGATCATTCACACACTGTATATATTAGATGTGGTTTTTTTTGTTTTGTTTTTTTTTTTTTAGCTGTGTCATATAAATTCTAGTCAACCAGTTTGAAAGATTTTTGAAGATTTTTTTTTTTTAGCTCCAGGAATTGCATATCTCATACCTGAAAGGCCACTGGGAAAGCTGATAATCTCTGTCGTAGTCAGCACTACAGTGATAGCCGTAAACTTCCAGGTCCATATCAGGCTTTGCGAGCAACTCCCTCGCTGAATGCTAATCGGTTCCTTGCTCTGCACTGCCGCCATTCATAGAACACCTTGGACTTGTTTCAGTGAATACAAGGGGTTCTGTGAATGGACAAGGTAGAATCAGAGTATGCCTTGTTTTCATAAAAAAAAGTCCAGGGCAGTCTTGAACCTGAGCAGGGCCCTGAAGATCGTGACTTTTTAAAGTATGAGATATACATATTCACACTGTGCAAAACTGGACCAGTGTAAATATGCAATACAGATCATAAATGGATGTCAGCTTTAATTTCTGTTTTTATGAATTACACATATCTGAGCCACTAGTGCAAACAGAGGGGATAAATTTCCCGGGGGGACATTAAATAATATTAAATAATGTTTTTATTTGTTGCTTTTTAGGATGAATATTATAATGTGAAACAAAAGTAATTAAAAAAAAAAAAAACACCAAATGTTCTTTACAGAGCACTAATATGTGGATACTGACACAGTTTATTTCCTGTGTGTCTGTTGTGGCTAACAAGTTTTTCTATGTAATTGCAAGACCCAGTAGCTATTGCACCACTGTAAACAATGACCTAATAAAATTACAAGGGAGTTTGGTGCACTTTGACCCCCCCTTGCTGAGCATCCTTATGTATTTTCTTTTATATACAGTACAGAACTTTTCATCTTTTCATCACAAAACCAGAGACAGGTACTGAAAAGCTGTAAAGAGTCTTCGGATTCCTCCTCTCAACATCCCCAGCAACCCTTTTTCTACTGTTGTGTTTTTTGTTTTTTTTTTTTGCTGAGCTTAGCCACAAATGTCCAGAAGAAGGAATCTAAATAAAGACAAAACTATCACAATTTATACATTTTGAAACTTTGAACTGCCCTTCAACCCCATCTGTCCTAGGCCTTGCCACTCCCATAGACTGTAACGGAAGTATACATTTGAAATTATACTAGGAAATAAATATTTGTGAAATTCAGTCTCCATTTTGTCCCTTGGTATAAACGTTTAGACCGGGGGTCACAATTCTTTCTAAATGAAGGGCCAGTTTACTGTCCTTCCAACATAGGAGGGCCAGACTGTGGCCAGGGGGGAGTAGAAAATGTCTTGGTCAGATGGAGTTGACCGTGTCCCATCGTTGGTGTCAGTGGGAGGAATATTGCCTCGTTGTTGGTGACGGTGGGAGTCAACAGTGTCCCGTTGGTGTAAGTTAGAGGAATACTGCCCCATCATTGGTGTTGGTAGGAAGAATAGTACCCCTTCGTTGGTGTCGGTGGGAAGAATAGTGCCCCTTCGTTGGTGTCGGTGGGAAGAATAGTGCCCCTTCGTTGGTGTCGGTGGGAAGAATAGTGCTCCTTCGTTGGTGTCGGTGGGAAGAATAGTGCCCCGTTGTTGGCTTCGGTGGGAGGAATAGTGCCCTGTCTTTTGTGTCATGGGAGGAATAGTGCTCCATCGTTGCTGTTGGTGGGTGGAATAGTGCCCTGTTGTTGGGTGGAATAGTGCCCGTCGTTTGTGTCATGGGAGGAATAGTGCCCCATCGTTGGTGTTGGTGGGAGGAATAGTGCCCCAACATCAGTGTCTGTGGGAGGAGTAGTGCCCCACCAACAATGTTGGTGGAGGAATAGTGCCCCATCGTCAGTGTCGGTGGGAGGAATCATGCCCCCATGTCAGTGTCTGTGGGAGGAATCATGCCCCTTTGTAGGTATCAGTGGGAGGAATCGTGCCTCATCGTTGGTGACAGTGGGAGAAATAGTGCCCCATCGTCAGTGTCGGTGGGAGGAATGGTGCCCCACTGTAAGTGTCGGTGGGAGGAATCGTGCCCCATTGTCGGTGGGAGGAATCACGCCCCATTGTCGCTGGGAGGAATCGTGCCCCATTGTCGGTGGGAGGAATCATGCCCCATTGTCGGTGGGAGGAATCGTGCCCCATCGTTGGTGACAGTGGGGGGAATAGTGCCCCATCGTCGGGTGTCGGTGGGAGGAATAGTGCCCCACTGTAAGTGTCGGTGGGAGGAATCGTGCCCCACTGTAAGTGTCGGTGGGAGGAATCGTGCCCCATTGTCGGTGGGAGGAATCGTGCCCCATCGTTGGTGTCAGTGGGGGGGAGGAATAGTGCCCCATCGTCAGTGTCGGTGGGAGGAATAGTGCCCCACTGTAAGTGTCGGTGGGAGGAATCGTGCCCCATTGTCGGTGGGAGGAATCGTGCCCCATTGTCGGTGGGAGGAATCGTG